TGGTGTGTCACACAATGAACACATTGGGACCCCAGTTGCCCTTTAAGTTTTATTCATTTAATGACACCAAGGTCCTGGGAAGGGATATGACTTCCTCTGGGTCTCTCAGGTACTTAAATATTCATTGGATTGACTGATTAATTAAAGATAGCAACACAATAGCAACTCTTTCTGGAATGGTTTCTAGCTCTGACAAGCAGACTGGGCTCACACATCTGTAACCCTCTTACGCTGTCCTAGGGTGACTCAGCCTCTCCTTCCTGCTGGCATCCCAGAACTCTGCTTTCACTGTGATGATCTCCTAGTTACAGCCTGTCTGAAGAGCCAGAGCTCTTCTCACAGCCAGGGTCAGCTGCTCTGCTAGTCCTGAGTGAACCAGTGGACAGGTGATCTCCCCTCAGAAATTCTGCTACCCCGGAGGACAATACACCCCTCCAACGGAATCTGCACTTGGAGTGAATTCAAGGTGTAGAGTGAGGTGGGGTCTGCAGGAATAATGCTGAGCTCGCATGAGTCTTCAAAGGCTTTGGGGTTTCCAGCTGCCTATCACAAAGGGGTTCTGTGGCTCTGGAATCGACTGTGTGCACATCCTCTACTTAGATACCCAGACCAGCCCCCGGGCCCACCTGTCACGTTGCTTTTGTCCTGAGGTGGGCAGAAGAGGAAAACTTGCTTAGGTGTTGCCCTGAGGTGACCTGATTGCAGAGGTTTATCACGCATGCATTTCTTCTCCCTCTGACTTCTTTATCCATATTTAAATCATGCTTGGGGAAGTCATTTATTGCATTCCTCAGGCTTGCACTGGAAAGTACATGAGATCCTTGATAAACCTAATATATTTGATTAAAAATTAATATGAAAGTCATATTGTTTCCAACTTTAAATCATAATTTGATCTCTTTCATTTTATTTAATATATGGCCACAATTCTAAAATTACTTTAAAAAAAAAGATGAGATGAGATGAGATGGAAATCAGTTCTGGGGGCTTTTCCTTATTGCTCAGAGAAACTCGTGCCTGTCATGCGGCAGACAATCTGCGTTGCCATTTCTTGTATGACATTTAGAATCTGTATATGGGTGCAATGCATCCCACTAGAGGCTTCAAATGAGTCCTCCATGAAAGATCTGTCGGCTCTTTTTAAATGCTACCATTAAAAAATTAATGGGAAAAGAGAAGCTTTATCCAACCCAAGCCAGCTCCAGTTTTATATTTCCTTAATGTTTTATATGCCGCTACAGGAAATTAAACTGAGATTGTCCTCTCCAACATGCACATGTGTGGCTTTGCGGGGGGGTGGGGGGGGCATGCTGAGAGACTCAGATCTCCTGAAACAATTGCTTGGCCTGTCCAAGATTTTCTGCTAACTTCAATTTTTGGGTGAGGCAAGAGGAAGTGCTCTTCATCTCCTAGCTGAGGAGAAGAGGTATCCAGGGCCATGCAGGGCTCCCGTCTATCCTGGGAAGCTGTTAGCCCCAGCTCTGTGGAGACAGAGATGGCAGCTAGGTCAAGGACCAGATGTTGTCCTTCATCATCAAATCTGAGGTGTGGCTTCCTGCCCACACAGAGTGTAACATCCTTCACATCGGCCCACACGAAAGTGACCTGGCACTTAACTTCTTTCTTCTTTCTGTCCCTTTCTATGTCTGACCATCAGAGAAAAATCGTAATATTTAATAATTGTTAAATAATTGTATCTGTATTTAATCTTTGGCTTCTCCTCCCCCTTTCCACAATATCTTCACATTAGTCTTCTGCTTTGAGCCACTGTGGTATATTAGATTCAGGAACACTAGTGCCCTACCCCATCTACCCCTAGTGCTGAGTCACCAGCAGTTGCGAGGACACAGAGCATGCATGACCGGCAGCATTTGACGAGGGCCAGCAGACTCTGTTGCTCCCCCATGGTCACAGCCCTGTCTATGGCTGGAGGCTGTACAGTGCAGTCATGGAGTAGACTGAGGTGAGCCCTGAGAACCTGGCATCCCACGTGGCCCCCTCTTGAGCCAGGCGACTTGGGGGGCCATTCTTTCCATTCAGGGTTTCTGGCTGGCTGGTCTTTGCTTTGCCTTCAGGAAGCTGTCTGGGAGGTGTGGCTGTGAGCCCAGATGGGAGCAGTTTCCCTGCCCAGCTGGGCCCTGCAACTCTGGTGTGGCCACAGGTTAAAACCCTCCTACTGGAGTTGGGCGCCTACCCTGCTCTCAGACAGCAGATCTGCCTCTTTAGTACACAGGGAAATTCTGGTAACTGGAAAAAGGGTGAAAAATGAAGCTTGGGACTGGAACTAGTAAGGAGTACTAAGTACTAAGTGGTAAGAAAGACTGGAACCAGACACATGCAGATCATCTCACACTGTCAGGGTGACAAGTGGATGGCTTTGTCATTTAACCTGTGGGTCCAATCACATAAAGATCCCGAAGAAATGCTAGCCTGAGAGCTGTAAGATGTGCAGGCTGAGGCAGTTGCCCACCCAGGCAGGCCTGGTCTTTCTCTGGGTAGATACAGGGCCAGGCCCATCTGCAGAGAGCCTTTCCGGTGTCGGGTCCATTCATCCTCCTCTGTAGATCACAGGCATCAAGTAGATGGGGACAGGACACCCACAGCGGCTTTTAAGTAGGAGAATTTCCTACAAAGTATCTCCCCAATCAGAAGCCTCTATAATGCAGCATCACACAGGTCTCTGCCACAGACACCAGCACGTCCAGCACAGTGGAGGGCCCAGGGCAGAGCAGAGCAGAGAGAATAAAACATGAGGCACCAGATGTTGTTTTTAATCTTCTCTATGGCTTGGCTGCCTGAAAGGTGGGAGCTGCTCCTGCTCCTCCCTCCACTCCAAGCCCTGCCTCAGGATGTGTGTACAGAAACTGCGTGGCAGGGCTAGTCTGCTCATATTAATAAGAAGCCAGACCCCTGCATCTGTCCTGGCCCCCCTGTGGGCCTCACTGCCAGCACCCGCACAGAGCCAGCAGGCTTTTCCTTCAGTTTTCCTTCTTTTCCTCCCAGCAATTAACTGTAACTCCTCCTTCTACCTCCTATCCCTGCACACACACACATACACACACACACACACACACACACACACACGCACGCGCCCCAGTCTATTTGTTTTCTGTTCTTTAAACCTAAAGGGAACAGCTTTCAAGAGGCATGAAACAAAAGCCAGGAGCACAGGCTGGAAGCACCCACCAGCACGAAAGCTTTGCTGTCCTGCCTTCGGTTTTCTCCTCTATGCAGGTGAGGGTGTCTCACTAGGTGAATGGAATGAGGACCCACTCTGTGCTTCCTAGCTTCCAAATCTATGTGTCTTTAAGATATGCCTCTAAGGGTTTATCTTATATTTGGCAAAGGCAAATAAATAAAAGAAATACCACACACACACACACACACCAGAAAACTCATAGATTCGTCACCATAATAAAAGGGTGGGGGGAATTTGAATTTTCAAGAGTAGCTTATTAAATAATGGTCTATAATGGTCTATAAACATGGTGGAGTTGTATACACCCACTAAAATGGTAATGATGCTAACTGGATAACACTGAGTAATGGAGAGCAGCTGGGGTTTGTTGGAAGTTACTGTACCTGCTGTTCTCAGTGACAGGTAGAATGCTGGGCTGTCCTGGAGCCTAGGTCTGGCTCCTGATGGGCAGGTTTCCCTGGATCATCTGTGGGGTTGGCACCCTGCTGTGCCTCTTAATGTTGTGTGTAGCCAAGGCAGCCAACCTGGGTACCACATTGCCAAGTGCTTCATGGTCACCAGATCCACATCTTCACAGGTCTCCAGAGCACAGTCACATTGAGTAAGGTGGCTCTGGGTTCCCTTCTTATTCTCAACCTGCCCTGCCTCCTATCGAGCAATGCCCAATGACATTGTTTAGGCTATTTATTGCACTGTAACAAGCCATCCAAAAGCCCAGTAGAGCAAAGCAACAACAGATTTATGTTTACAGTCCTGTGGGTCAGGAATTGGAACCAAACACAATGGGAACAGTTTTCTTCTGTTCCACAATGTCTGGCTTTTCATCTGGCTGACTTCTGCCTAGTCGTTGGAATAATCCGGAGGCCTCTCCCCAGGCACATATTTGGTGCCCTGGTTCAGGAAACAGTAATCCAAAGATGCCCACATGTGGCCTCTGCATGTGGCTTGGCCTTCCTCACAACATGGAGGCTGATGGGTTCAGGAGCATATGCTAGTGACCCAGGCAGAGGCTTCTTGGCCTTTAAGCCAGTAACTTTACTTTTATTACTCTTTTCATATGGGGTAGTCACACACTCAGCCTGATTTCTGAATTATTTGGGAGGTTGAATCAGCAAGATTTAGTAACAGATTGAACATGGAAACTGAAGGAAGGGATCATCAAAATGCCACACCACACTGCCGTGTGCCATGGAGAGTATGAAAACATACACACAGGAATCACAGTACATGTCGGTGAGAATTAAGTGCAAGAAAAACAATCATGGGACAGCAAGGTAGCTGGTGAGTAAAAGCACTTGCTACTAAGCCCGAGTTCTGTCCCTGAAACCCACATTATAGAAGAGAACTGATTCCCTCAAGTTGTCCTCTGACCTCCACATGCATGCTGTGGCACACACATGCCTTCATGCATACACACAAAAATAAACATATTAATTTTAAAAATATTGTGAGGAGGTTGCAGCACAAGATTTCTTTTGTGTGACTTAATCATCTTAGCATGAATACTTAAATATAACTGTCCACCCAAACCCATGCATTAGAACAATCACTGAAGGTCATCACCGGTCCTCAGCTCCCAGGATGACTGGTGCTCAGTCTACTTTCCAGATGCTATACTGAGACATCATCTGTACCATTTGTATTCTGGCTCAGTGAACCATGGTGCCACCAGCTCCCTATGGACTGTCTGTTCCTCTGTACCTCTGTCAGTGACAGGGTCCCTAGATCATGAGGAAAAGATGGGGGAGCAGGAAGGCTTGTCTGTTTGAGATATAACCTGCCGCCTTTCCTTTCTCTTTAGGCTTTTGACATTATGAGAGTGACCCACGGCAGAGAGCACAGCCTGATTGAAGATTTGATTCTTCTCTTGGAAGAATGTGATGCCAACATAAGAGCATCCTAAGGACTCCACCGGGCTGGAGGGAAGGTGGCGCATCCTTATCAAATGCCTTATTGAGGTCACATGCCCTGTGCTGTTTGCAGTGTGAATCTCCCCTATTGAAAACAATGTTCTGTGTTTGTGTAGGTAGACAGCGGCAGGCATGTGTTGTGTAACCCTAGAACCATTAGTGGTAGAGAGGCACAATTATAATAAATACAAAAAAAAATTAGATGAAAATGCCATTTGGTAATTTTTCTTTCACTCATAGGTGATGTTCAAGATTTCAATATTGGAAATAGGAGTTCAACAAAGACAGGACAGAATAAGTTAAAACAAGGATAGAATAAGTTAAAACACTCTTTTTTGGATGTATGTAGACATTTCACATGTACTCCCAAACACAAATGTCATGTCCATTTTATAAAGTGTATATTTTACTGTTTTACTTTATTTTTATTAACATGTGTTAATAAATCATACTTATTAATGTGGTTCAATATGATATTTAAGTAACTCAGTACATGTGTACAGCATGCACCAATTGAATCCAGGCTCTGGTTATTCCTCAGTGTCTTCAATTTCTACCTTCTAATAATCACTACTCTTCCTTAAGATTGACTTTTTAAAACTTCCCACCAGTGAGAGAGAACATCCAGGATTTTTCTCTCTGTGCCTGGCTTATCTCACTTAACATAATTTCCCCCAGTTCCATGAATGGCAGGATTTCACTCATCTTTATGGCTGAATGCTAGTCCTCTATTTATATACTACACCATCTCTATGCATGTTGATGGGGTCCTAACTTGACAGCAGACCTCAGCTATTGTGAATAGTCTCACAGTAAACATGGACAGAATATGTTTTTGGATTACTTAATTTCCTTTTGATATATACCCAGAAGTGGGATGGCTGGATTGTATGGTTGTCCTATTTTTAGTTTTCTGAGGAACCTCTGTACTGGTCTCTGTAATAGTTGTACAAATTTACTGTTCCTTTTTTCCCATGTTCTCACCAGAGTTGTCACTTGGGTAGTTGTGTTTTCATTGTCATTGTTTATAATAGCATTTCAACTGCTGTGAGATATTTCATTATAGTTTTGGTTTCCCTGATGACCAATTATATTGATTATGTTTCATATATTTGTGACTGTTCGTTTACTTACTTTGTAATTGGATTCTTATTTTCTGAACTACTTATACATTATGGATGAATTATATATGAATCCTTTGTTGGATGGATAATTGGCAGATATGTTCTCACATTCTGTATGTTTTCTCTTCACTGTTGTTTACTGTGCTCTTAGAATCATATTTTAAAAAATTTGTTGCTTATACCAGCATTTATAAAAGTCATTGCTGTTATGGAGTGTTTTTGTGTGTTTTCTTCTAGTAGTTTCCATTTTAGATACTGTGTTCAGGTCTTTGATCTATGGTGAGTTGATGTCTGTATAGAGTGGAAAATGGTGGTAAAGTTTCAGTCCCTTGCACGTGGACACCCACCTTTCCCGAGCAGAGTTCAGCGAATAGGCTGTCCTCACAAGGCATGCTTCTGACATCTGTTAAAAATGAGTGTGAGTTTATTTCTGAGCTTCCTGTTCTGTCCCGCTGGTCTGTGTATGTTTCCATTCTGCTGCTGTTTCTGTAACTTGGTAGTGAGTCTTCAGATACTGTGATGCCTCTTTTTGCTCAAGATTGCTGTAGCTGTCCTGAGTCTTTTGAAGCAGAATTTTGAGATGTTGCCTTTACTCTTCTGTGATAAACAATTCCTGCATATATTATTTGTTTCCAAATACCTCTCCAACTTGAGTCATTTTTTAAAATTATTTATTTAATAACCATATAATTAGAAGAAGCATTTCATTACAACAGCATTGACATATTCAATAACAATTGCCTGAGCTAAGATGCATCTGTTTCAAAATTAGCTGTAAGTTTTTAGGTTTACATTGAATTAATACGGTTATACAATATTGTACTCTGTATAAACCCTATAAGACATAAAATTAAATGA